AATAAGAGCTGTATATTCATCCTATAGAATAATGAGATAATGAAAGATTGGTTTCTAAGGTTGCCCAAAAAGATAAACTAATTTCCATTGACATTAGTGAAACTGAATGTACATGTAAATATGTACAACCATAGATATTAGAGACTGTACATATACAGGATTGGAAACAGGAATACACTCCACATCTTATTATTATAATAGTTATGAATAGTTATTAAAAACTAACTTGTTGGTTTATAGATCTACACTATTGTAACTTGTAAGTATTGTACAATTCAAAACAAAAACACCCATAATTAAAAAATAGAAAAAAATAATAGCAACAACTATCATTGAATCAAATATTACACTTAAAGAAACATAAAATCTTTATTTCAAACAAATCCTTCTTTGAAGCAGGAGAGGGAGACAAAAATGCATGTGGGTGCAAGTTATTTTGTCTCAAAAGGAGGAGAATAAAGCTTGTATGGATCTAAATACATAGCTTAAGCGTCAATTCCAAAGTACATGTAAGTCAAATGAACCTCTGTCCTACAGAGGGAAGACAAGCAAAAATGAGTAGAAATTTTTTTACAGCGAAGCTATTGCTTAGCCAACACAAAAGCTTATTTTACAACAGTAAGTGATAAAATACAATACTTAGTTACTTATGTGGTAACTGTCTAGTCTCTTTAATATAATTAATTATAATAACCACACATCCTCCATATAATTTAATCCTGCAATCATCTAATTCTTCAGTTGTAGTCGTTCCGTCTTTCGTTCTCTCAAGTTCTCTTCAGTTCTTCTACAATTCGTACATTGAATAGTACTTCAGTTCAATTGGTAGCGTGAGCTACATTGTTCATTCATTTCTTATTATTTGATTCTATATTGCTTGATTCTATATTGTATGCTTCTTTCTATAGTTATTGTGAATTTCCTCTTATTCTCTTTCTTCCTTTATTCATACAGTGTGTTATCCTTTTTCTTTTGTTCATCTCTATTCTTACTTCTTTATTTTTATTGTGTATGTCCTTCTGTCTGTCTCTGTTTTCTTATTGTTTGTAATTGTTTTTATTTTATTGGTTTTGAGACTAGGCAAATATACAACAACTTACCACATGATGCATCATAAAAAATCCCTATAATCCCTCAGGTTTAGTAGAAAAGACAAAAACTGGCTGACGGTAGGCCAACATGGCGGAGAACAAGGACGTATGGTCAAATTGTACACAATGTAATAGATCACGTGATGCCGTTTCCTATCCCGATATGTATTCTCTAATATCTAAGGTACAACTACAAGGTTGGGTAACTCCACAATACTGCATTGATTCTAACATGAAGGGCTTGAGTGATTGTGTTTATAAAGCAAGAAGTACTTGAAGGTCCTTTATAATCATTGAGCATATAATAAGCAGTAGTGCTTGACTTGTACTTATACATAATATGTACACATGTAAGTACACATGTAAGTACTACTCTAGTACTTCTAAGGCAGCTAGTACATGAGTTTCTAATTATGACAGCTACATACATATACAACATACACATGTACAATACATATTTCTAAAATAAAGTATATAATACTGCAACTAAAATGACTTACTCCGTTTGAATGTGAAGGATCAGCTCCTTTCTTCAGCAGTAATTCTACAACATCACAGTTTCCTCCTCTTGCTGCTTCAATAAGAGCAGTTTCTTCAGCCTGTAATAACAAGATAAGGATAGATTGGTTTCTAATATTGCCATTGCCCCAAAAACATGAATGATAATTTAATAGCATCTGGTACAACATCATCTAAAGTTATATTCTTGTGAAGTCAGACCCTTTCCTTTAGATACTGGGACACTGCTTCAGTGTGTAAAAATGTTGAGGAAATTACACTAAAGAGTTATTGTTATATGTATTTATATTATTGTTAGTTATATTATTGTTAAAGTCTAGTGTTATCTATAATTATGTCCTGTTTCTTCTAGAGCTCTCTACTTTAGAACTTTCTACTGTGTATGTCCTATATTCTAGAAGATTCTCTGTTGCATTTAAGGAAGTGATTTTTATATAATTTTGTCAGTGGTTTTTGTTCTCTTGTGTCTTGTTGCTTTGATCATCTAAGTTGTTGTTTATCATTAAACTTATCAAGATTCTGTGACAAAAAGTATAGGAGTCTATAGCTACAGTACATGAGGATATTTCAAAAGATAAGGGCTAGAATATTGAGGAAGGCATAATATTAAATTTAAATTAATAATCTCACAAGCATATTTAATATGTGATGTGAGATTATAATTCCACAAATGGCAAGGCAAATATATGACCATGTATTTGGCCGATTATCTACTCAAATCTGTAGCAATTTTAAAGGTTTAAAAAATATATAAGCTGCTCACGTGATCTGCCACGTTGGCCTTAAAAGGCAGGAAATGTAATTTAATAATAGGAAGGCAACTAAAAAAATTGTGCCAAAATGACACATTTTTCATGCACTACACGTGTCAGACCACCAATGAAGAATTGGTCAAGAATTTTTCTTGCAGAAGCTAAAGCTCCACATGTACAAGAAAACAATGGTATAAAGCTGCTGTAGCTGTTGGTGTCATCCCCAATTATGAAACATAAAAGTTTGTTAATTTAGCACACAGGTGTGCTGTTTCAACACAGGAAGCTGTGTTGAAAAACAAATATAGCACACGTCATAATCTAGGACAAATTCTGCGTCAATTTGACACAATTTTTTTTGTTTGTAATAAGTGTCCATCTTATCAAAATGATCAGAGTACTGCATGGCTAGTACAATATGTACCTTTTGCATGGTACTGTTGATATGAACTGTACCCTTTACTAAGCCAATGAAACTTTGCATGTGATAAGTCATCACACTACCTGAAAATATAGCAGCATCCCTGCAATTGCCATGCAAGTGGTGCAATATCCATTTTATACAGAAAAATTAC